GTGCTCTGATGTAACGTGTGCCCATTGCTCTGGTTGTGTGCTTGATTTGATTCTTTGAATACGATTGGCTACAAATACCTGAAATCTTCTGGCGTTATTATTAATGTAGCCAAGAACGACGGTCGAGTCTGTCCAGAAGAACTCTTGTATGTTTGGAATTTCAAGCTCTGTTTTGAGTAGATCACTGATCCTTACAGCAACAACTGCTGCTGAGAGCTCGAGTCGAGGGATAGTTGTGACACTAGAAGGTGTGACTCTTGACTTAGCAATTACTAAACAACAATGGACTTGCTCTGTTTGGCTAATTACTCGCAGGTAAGTACATGCCCCATATCCATTAACGCTAGCGTCTGCAAAGTGATGTAACTGATAGGTTCTGACTTGTCCAAAATCAAACGGAACAAAACATCTTTGGATCTGTAAGTCAGCTAAAATAGAAAGATCTTTGGTCCAGGACTCCCACTGGGGTCTTAAGTACTCTGGAAGCTCTTGGTCCCAGCCTACCTTATCCCGGCACATTTGCTGGAGAATTTGCTTGCCTACAAGGACAAACGGTGCAATAAAGCCGAGGGGATCATAAATGGAGGCTACGGTGGAAAGTACTCCTCTTCTTGTCAATAGGTTAGACTTGACTTGAACTCTGAATTTGAAAGTGTCTGATGTGATGCACCATTCTACTCCAAGGGCTCTTTCAATGCGTGGCAAACTAAGAGACATATCCAGGTCCTTAACTGCGGCACGCTCTTCAACTGGAATAGTGGACATAACCCTCTCACTATTAGAAACGAACTTGTGAAGTCTTAACTTCCCTGTAGAGCACAGCTCTCTTGAGTCTTTAATAAGTTGAATGGCTTCACTCTCAGTAGAGACGCTCGCCAAGCCATCATCGACATAAAAGTTTCTTTGTATGAAGCGTATTGCATTTTCTGGGAAGTTATTTTCACCTTGGGCTGCAAGATGTTTTAAACCAAAGTTGGCGCAGCCTGGAGAAGACGCTGCTCCAAAAAGATGAACTTTCATCCGATAGACGGATGGTGTTACTTCCAAATCTCCCTTCTCCCACCAAAGAAATCTTAAATAATCCTGATCTTCTTTTGTGACGTGGAATTGGTGGAACATTCGCTCTATATCACACATGAATGCGACAGAATCTTTACGAAAACGACAAAGAACGCCCACCAATGTGTTCGTGAGGTCAGGACCTGTTAATAGATGGTCGTTGAGAGAGCTGTCTTGGTACTTAGCAGAGGCATCAAATACAACTCTGATCTTCCCTGGTTTATGTGGATGATAGACCCCATGGTGTGGGATGTACCACGCAGGACCTTTGTGTATGTCTTCATCAGGAACCTTTTCTGCATCCCCTCTTGAGATTATGTCATTCATAAAGTTTGTGTAGTCACTGTAGTATGTTTTATCTTTCTTAAGTCTCTTTTCCAGACACTTTAGACGATGCATTGCACATATTTTGTTGTCAGGTAACTTCGGTCTGCCATCTCGAAATGGTAATGGCATCTCATAGTGACCGCTTTCATTTTTCTTGATGTTCTCTTTAAGTTTAGTGAGAAACTTCAAATCTTCTTGAGAAACCGGATTGTCATCAACGGCTCTTTCAGAGAAGTCTGCCTCCAGCGCCTTGACAATATCTGAAGGAGTGACATCTCTTATTTTCGTTCTGTTCACATAATGAACACTTTTCTGAAGCGTTACAGTAGGCTTGAGTTCTGGAATGACACTCTTGACAATAATGTGGTGACTGATTCCTATTGCATCTCCGTAGTCCATACAGGGGTTACTTTGACCGATAATGCTCCAACCAAGATCTGTACACTGAGCAAACGGTTCATCTTCCTTGCCTGAGACAATCTCTCTTGGAAGTAGAGCTTGAGAGCAGTTGTATCCAATCAACAACCCTACTTCACAATCTTGCAAAGGTGCGATTTCCGATTGTAGATGTTCCAAATGTGACCAAGCTTTAGCTGTTTCGTTAGTTGGAATGTGAGTTTTGTTGGCGGGAATAAACTCTCTTGTATAAGTTGGAGGTAGAGTTATCCTCTTACTTAAGTTAAAGCCACGAACTTGGAGATTTTGAAGTCTGCAAGACTGAACTGTGGTCTGAGAAGACATAGTAGATAGCTCTAGTCTGACATGTTCTTGGTTCGTTTCAAGTGAGTCTGCAACATCACTGAGTACAAAGGTAGTGTCGCTTTGAGAATCCAGTAAGGCATATACAAGGACTTCTTTGGGTTTTCCTGAAGATGACAGCCACACAGGAATGATTGCAGCAGTTTGTATATTGTTGTCTTTGCTTACAACGTTGTTTGTTGTAGCTGAGGCTGTAACTTGTTCTTGAGCTTCATTGTTCTGGTTTTGCTCGGTATTTGTGTTTGACTTATCTGGTTGTTCATTTCCTCTCTTAATTTTGACTCTATCTTCATGAAGACAGGTAGGATGCCCTTTGGTGCACTTCTCACAAATGTTGCGGTTGGTGCAGTTCTTTGAATAGTGACCTGATTTAAGACAACCAAAACACAACTTTTCTGACTGAATAAACTTGACTCTGTCTGCCACAGCTTTTTCCAGAAATTTTCTGCATTTGTGTAGACCATGCTTAGGTTTTTTACAGAATAAGCATGTTAGTGGTGTCCTTTCTTGAGAAGTTGTCATCAGTGTTTTAACTCCAATTTGTTTCTGTCTTGTGGGCTTCAGCTTTTCTGCTTTATCAGAGTCACCTTGCTTCAGTGACTGCAATGATGTAATTGNACCAACCATTAGCCCGCAGCTCATTCATAGTCATTCCACGACCTTGATGATGAACCTTAGAGTGAAAATGTCTTATCAATAAAGTTGAAATATGACTGTCCTTTGGGAGTATTGCTGGATGCTTCACGTGTGTATGTAACGCTGCTTTACTCAAACGTCCTCCGACTCTGAGTATGCCTTCCTCATCCAGAAATGGACTTAGCTTGTACAGTTCATGGTCTTTGGTCTTGGAAACAGTTTCCTTTGATTTCAGACTCTTCAGTGCTTCAGAAAAAGCTTTCTGTTGAACAAGTTTAATGACAAACAGCTCTGTTTGTTTTCTCTCTTCTAAACTTGTACTTTCTTTACCCTTTTGTATTTCGCCTTTAAATTCCTTGACCCTTTTTCTCAAGACTGCAAGTGCTCTTATCAATCTGGACCATTCTGAGAATTTCTCAAATCTGTCAAGAATAGTTTGCTCTTCTTTGGCATTAGTGGTACACACAAAGACTTTACGAAGTTCTGGGTCATCTTCTCTAATCTCTCCCACCTTGGCCTCTCTATCAGGCAGGTTCTTTTTCCAGAGAAAAGCTGGTCCTGTGAACCAATCAGAGGATTGTAGTTGTTCTGCTGTTAAACCTCTAGAAGTGTAGTCTGCAGGGTTGTGCTCTGATGTAACGTGTGCCCATTGCTCTGGTTGTGTGCTTGATTTGATTCTTTGAATACGATTGGCTACAAATACCTGAAATCTTCTGGCGTTATTATTAATGTAGCCAAGAACGACGGTTGAGTCTGTCCAGAAGAACTCTTGTATGTTTGGAATTTCAAGCTCTGTTTTGAGT